AGCAATAGCCTCCTTAGCCCTATCCATAGCTTCATAAATATAACCCATGGCCGGCTTTCTTTCCCTGTCAACTAACCTAAGAACACTAACAAGAGGGCCCGTCAAGTTGAGAGCATACACAATATTCCTCCAAAACGTCTCTTGTAAGATGTAGGAGTGCAACATCTTTCCCTTTGGTTCAGTTGACCATTTGCTATCCATCCGTTCTTGAGAAATAACCATCTTTCTGAAGTTATTCTTTTGTTTGTGAAATTGAAGAAGAGTGATAAAAGATGTACCAAATCTTGTGATTGCGGGCCTATGCAAGTTCCTTTGATTTGTGAACTTCCGCATCAAGTTCACTAGACCAACAAAGTTGTATATGTATCCATTGGCGAACATTGCCTTCTTCAAACAACTTTTCACCCGAGGAATTTGTTTCATGATATCCTCTAACATAAGATCTATGCAATGGGCAGCACATGGAGTCCAATAAAGATGCTTTCTCGTAGCTTCTAGCATCTTCCCTTTAAAGTTTAAAATAAAAATATTAGGTGACAAAATACATAGTAGTATTAAACATACATAGTATTATTATTACATATATAAWATTATTAAKATATAAATTATAATTAGGAATAGACTAAAATAGTAACTCATACCCGCTTTAACGTACGCAGATGCATTATCGGTGATCACTTGGACTACATTTTCTTATCCAACATCATCCACCATTTTATCAAGAATCCCAAACAATAAATTTGCGTCTTTAGAGACATCGGAAACATCCATAGACTTCACAAATACAGAACCCTTTGGAGAGTTCACCATAAAGTTAATTATGTCTTTTTGGACAACCGAATCATGCCATCCATCCGATAAAATAGAGCAACCTTTTTGCCATTCCTTTTTATGTTCCTTTACTTCTTCTTCAACGGTTTTTTACTTCTTGGTTGAGTAAAGGAACTCTTAGCTCATACATGCTTGGTGGTTTCATTCCAGGGCCAAATTGGCCAATAGCTTCAATCATTACACTAAAGCTATCATAAGTAGCGGGATTAAAAGAAATGTCGGCATCATAAAACCACCTTGCTATTTGCGTACAAGCTTTATCCCTTAACTCCTTCTGAACCACCACATTTATGGTTTGTTGTATCCCTCCTTTTCCATCTTTTTTACCTTTGATCACGTCTTAAGGATTAGGAGTGAAGAATCTATCTAGGGGACCTTTTTGTCTCGGTCTTTTTCATGTGGACACCTTACTACTACCACATTCTATTTCAACACAGTCATCGTCCTCTTCACCAAGATCATAATCATCTGAATGCAAGTAACTTGAGTTCATTAAATTCTCCACCTTTGCTACTTCTTTTTTCTGCATATAAGACTTTATTTCTTCTTTTACATGTTCTGGACAATTTGGACAACTAGTAACAGCCGATAGACCTCTAATAAAATGCCATTTAAAATGATATACACCACCCTTGACTACTTTACCACAAAAGTGGCAAGTGAAATTGTTCCTACATTTAGGATCTTGAGTTCCATATTTTCTACCCGGGTCACCTGATGAAGTGTTTGAATTTGAACTCGCAATAGGTTCCGATTCCGACATTCTGTAAGCTGGTCGACTTCTGATTCTTCACTTTGCTTGCTGTCAACTGTCGAGCTTCTTCTTCTAGGCTGTCGATCTTTTGCTACTATCGACTACTGCTGCTGCTTCTACTTCTTCAATATATGACTTCTCGTCATTTTTTGCTTCTTTGCTGGTTGTCGAGTATCGACCTGGTTATCGACTGTCGAGTATCGCGCTTTCTGCTTCTTTGCTGGTTCTATTTCTTCGTTGTCGGCTACTTCTATTAGGTCGATAACATTAACAGGTTGTCTCTTAACGTTCTATTTTACTTTAACGTTCTATTTTACTTAAGAAGCCCAACTAAAAAGCCCAACTAAACACTGGAAAAAAAAGCTCAAAAACGCAACATACATGATGCGCTGATGCACAAATGATGCACGCATCGAGTGATGCGTAGGTGATGTGATCGCATCATGGAATTGCAACGCATCAGACCCTTTGATGCGTTTTCTTCAGCACATCACAGCGCATCGCGCATCAGATCGCATAATGTGCGCATTTTTAAACCCATGTCATAATGTACAAAATTACATGTCTGTGGAAAATGTCATTGTATATATTTTAAACTATAATGAAAACATAAGTTTTCCTTAGTAGAGTCCAAACTCGAGTTTGAATCACATTAATGTCATTTCCTTAGTTTTTCACTTTTAATTTCATATTTGTTATATTTTTAAAACTTTTTTATAATAAAAGACTTAAACACAATATTTTATAAAACAGCTTTTATAATCAAATGGTACAATATTTTCAAAGAATTACAAAATGAATTCAAACCTGGCGGCGGATATAGACTTCTAGATTATAATATAATAATAATAATAATAATATTCAAATAAATATATAATATTTAATTCATATAATAACTTGGTTTATAAGTTTTTATATAAAAATAAACAAATATAGGATTTTTTTTCTTTATTAGAGATTTTATTATGTAATTGTATATCATGAGAATAATATTTAATCTTTAAAAAGGGGTATGAATATTGCACAAATTTCTAATCTTTATAAAGCTTATAATCCACCTTTAACTAAAATGTTGATAAGAAGTAATTAGAGATACTGTTTTATATGTGATAATAACTTTATTTTATGAAGACACGAGAACGATATTATTTTATATGCGATAATACTCTGGTGGTGTACAGATCGAAGAGTGTCAGCATTTGATTTAATATCACATGTGATTTTACTATAACAAAAAGTTGTTCTTGAATTTTATTCAAATGAACGTTTTCTCCTTTGAATTCTTCCTTCTTTTAGAAATTGAAAGCTCGTTCTGCCAGTGGTACTATTTTTATCACTTTGGTCCGCTCTTTGGATCTATCTACTTTCTTGGAAGTTCATACCCTTAATGAACGGACCAAAAAACAGAGTCTTAATCGAGGAAGTTGACTTATTCTATTATCAAACATTATTATTAAACAAAAGATAGCTGAAAAAACTTATTTGGTCATTTATTAAACAAAATAATTAAAATAACGTTAACAATATCATAAATTATATATGAATTTTAGGCTTAGGTTATGTTTGACAATCACGACTTAGGGGTTGTTTGTTTACCTCTTAATGGTTTCATTAAGAGGCAGTCTCTGAATCGTTAAGAGGTGAATCTTGTTTGGCAAAAAAAAATTTGTCTCTTAATGGTTCTGAAATCATCTTAATGATTTTGCATCATGAGCCCCCCTTAACCATTCAGCGCCCTAATTTCATTGTAAACAGTTACCAAACAATTATATTTCATTTTGCACTATATAATGAGAGTCTCTTAATCATTCTGACCACTTAATCATTCTGCACCAAACCATTCAGCAACTACCAAATAGCTCTTACTGCCTAACTTATCAAAATCAACATTTGTGGAATCATGAATACGTTTATAAGTTAATTCTTTTTTAAAATTAGTACAAATGTTTATTGGGTTTTTTTTATGTTTTCTAGTTAATTTTCTTTTATATATATATATATATATATATATATATATTTATTTATTTATTTATTTAGAGCATTTATATTGTTATCTAACTTAAACAACAAAATGATTTTAAAAAGTAATCACCAATGCGTAGAAATTATATATGATTTTTACGTTTATGGTACGTTAGACGATCATGACTTATTCTTTAAACTACTAAAAACGTATATTTTTTTTAACAATAAATAAGTCTACAAGTTAACTTTTTCAAAAGTCGTTTTATAAAACTAATGGGATTTTTTTTTCAATTATATTATTTTATATTTTCATTTTGACTATAGACTAATTTTCATCAAATATTATTAGTTTGTTAATTAACTTATTTTTCAAACTAATAACCAACTTATTAATAACAATTATTTTATTAGTTAACCACAAGAATAATGACAGGTTGGTTTAAGTTTGTGCTCCAAATGTCAAAAATATTTGAAGGTCTCATGTTCGAATATAAGGAGGAATAAAAAAATCCCCTTGTAACCATGGAGGTTCAAATGTGGTGACTCCGGCTACCCGCAAAGCGAATGCTCCTCCTACAATTAGTTAGCTCACATAACGGGTTTGATATCCATGTTAATAAAAAATATAATTTTACTAGTTAATTTAACTAACATGAGTTTAATTGATTGATAAATGAGACCTATCGCCTTTGAATCACGAGTTAAACAACAAAAAACATTACATCGTCGCAGCAAAAACGACATTTGTTATCAAATTTGGATAGTAAATATTTTTCCAAGAGACCAAAAGTCATATTTGTTGCATTCTATATTTATTTGTTATATTATAACTTTTCAAATGGTTAAATTTATTCTATAAAATTGTTATAATATTTTTTTGGCTTTAACGAAAATTTTTGTTAGTAATTTGTCGCTAAACACCATCACCGGCGACGGATCTCATCACCAGAAGAAAATGTGACCGGTTATCGTGATTATCGATGGATTTTCAATCACAGACAAAAAAATCCGCTGGTGATCAGACGGAAATTATGGGCGAAAAAAATCCATTAGTGAAACCCAAAGTCCTAAATGGTGTGAGGTGTGGCGTGACAGTGAGGTCAAGCCTCACGCCTTAGAAGTCATGATGAGGTCTTGGTGTTTATCAAGGCTTGATCGATGAAGGTAAATTTTTATATCATATAAATTATTATAAGATATAAACATATATTTTATTGGTGATTTTAGTGTCATCAATCATTTTAGTGTGATTGTGATTAAATCGAGATCGATTAAGATGATGAGACAAACATAAATGAATTAGGAGGTGTGGAGTGTACATTCTCAAATGTTACCTTTATATCTTAGATCACCATAAGTCAGGGGTCAAGGGGGGGGTTCCAAAGGGTAGATCCCCTTGGCGGTGGTCCAAGGGGCAGCACCTCGAAGTTTTTGGAATCTATGAAGAATCAAACTTAGTCAAAATCTCACTAAGTATAAATTTGGGTGTATGTGGTCAGAGATTTGATCATAGAGATCGAAAGTCGAATTTTGCCTTGAAATTCGACTAAGTACTTGACTCTGGACTTTGAGTCCAGACTTGTGGCTAAGTCTGAATTACTGAGTTCGAGAATCTGGATCTTGAGTCTAAACTTGTGCCTTTCAAACTTAAGGGAAAACGATTAAGTCCTAAGTCTGAATTAATGTATCCAAGATCTGGACCTTGAGTCCAAACTTATATTTTTCCATATTTTGAGTCAGACTTCTCTAATTCAATTATAACTACTCTTCAAATTTATCCATTAACGGTTTGTTTAACCTCCCGTAACTGTCGATCTCTCATTTAAATATGTAGAAACGAGAATCTGGGTATATAAACTCGAATTTCACAGCCTTCCAAAAACGGGGAAAAACTTAAGAATTATCCCAATACTGAGTTCGTGAACCCAAGACTGTTGGGGTCGAATTAGAGTATCTGGAAAGTGTTTCTAACACGATTTTTGAGTTTATCCGTTCGCAATTTCATCTCCTCTACCTTCTATTTCTAACATATATTCTACTATTACTTAATGATTCAATAATATTAAATAATTTTATACATTAGAAATTAACAAATAAGACATTAGAAAAGTAAGAAAAATCAAATATTGCGTTACAAACCAAAGGGCCTTTGGCCTAGCGGTATCGTAGCCCTTGGCCTTCTAGGAGGTCAAGGGTTCAAACCTCACCATAGGTGAGGAGAGTGTGTGAGTTTATTTGTTGTATTTGCCGTATATAAATATTATATACTTCAAAAAAAAAATTGCGTTACAAATACCGCGCATTTGGTCATGGCATATCACAGACTTATCATGACATGGTGATCTAATTTGCCTTCCAAAAATAACATTAAGAACCTTAAAAATCAGTTTTCTTAATTGCAATTACTAAATAGAGAAAGTATAGAAAATCATGCATGCACCAATTGGTTTTCATGGGAACATAATCATACGCGTGAAGAACGGTGCGAGATGTGGGACCGTACGATGACAAGAGGGTTCTTCATGTGGCAATCAAAACCCCCATCTGGTCCTATAAATATCCCACATCTATCAACCAACTCATTCACACAAAATATTACAGCAGAATTCAATTCAATTCAATTCAACAATGGATATCGCGATTACTCTCGGAGAAAATTATTTCTCATTTCTTCTTGTTTTTCTACTTACATCCTTCTTTCTATTTTCCATCGCCAAAACAACTTTCAGATCTAAACAAAACATTCCACCAGGTCCATGGCGGTGGCCGATCATCGGAAACATGCACCAAGTCGGAAAGGACCCTCATGTCGTCACCGCCGTCTTGGCTCAACGACACGGACCCCTTATCTCTCTCCACCTCGGTACTCAGCTTCTCGTTGTTGCAGCATCTCCAGAGGCTGCTTTAGAAATTCTCAAGACCAAAGATCGTTTTACTTCTTCCCGTTTCGTTCCTAATGCTTTTCAAAGCTATCTTTTACCTTTCACCCTTATTTGGTCGACTGATTGCGATGAAAACTGGAAATCATTAAGAACCCTTTGTCGAACCGAGATGTTCTCTAGCAAGGCCTTGGAGTCCCAGTCTAGTTTGAGAGCCAAAAAGTTGGCTCAGATGTTGGATTTCTTGTGTGAGAAGAAAGGGGAAGTTGTGAGCATTGAGGGAGTTGTTTTTACAACAATGTTCAACACTTTGAGCAACATTTTCTTTGGCAAAGATTTTCTTGATCTGGATGATAAAAACGGAAGTGATGGTGGGCTGAGAGAGCAACTTTTCAAGACATTGGCGACCGGCGTGACACCGAATGTAAGTGATTTTTTCCCCATGCTCGCGAGGTTGGATCTTCAAGGATTACGGACGAAAAACTTGAAGCATGTGAAAGGGATATTCAATTCTTGGGAGCGTATAATCGATGAAAGAAGATCAATGGTTGCAGTAGCAGAGGGGGAACAATGTTTCGTCGATTGTTTGCTTGAAAATGGATTCTCAAACGACCAAATAAGCATGTTGGGTTTGGTAAGTCTTTCTACGTTTCAATCTTAAAAGACGCTAGTGTCGTTTTTTATTTGGATGTGAATTTGAATCTCCATACTTTAATTCGCAGGAGTTGTTCACAGCGGGTACAGATACTACAACCTCAACGGTTGAATGGGCCATGGCTGAGTTGGTAAAGAACAAAAACGTTATGTCGAAGCTACGAGAAGAGCTAAAAAATGAAATCAACACTCGAACCGTTGTCGAATCTGAAGTTTCTAACCTGCCTTATCTAAACGCTTGCATCAAAGAAACCTTAAGACTACACCCTCCCGCACCTTTCCTACTTCCTCATCGTGCCTACCAAACTTGTGAAGTTATGGATTATACATTGCCTCGTGGCTCCCAAATATTGGTCAACATTTGGGCAATCGGTCGAGATCCAAAACTTTGGGAAGATCCTCTATTGTTTAAGCCCGAAAGATTCCTTGGCTCAAATTTGGATTTTGGGGGCCAAAACTTTGAGTTCATTCCGTTTGGTGCAGGGAGAAGGATGTGCCCCGGTTTACAGTCTGGTGTCAAAAGCGTCCAAACTATCTTAGCGTCTTTGATCCTTCGATTTGATTGGCTTCTTCCGAATGATGACGACCCTGTCAATCTCGACATGAGCGAAAAGTTCGGGGTGTTTTTGCAGAAGAAAAAACCTTTGCAACTCATTTTTAAAGATTTGAAATAGATGTTCAATTCAAATCTAATAATAAATAAGATGTTATGTGCAAAGGTTGGATATGATACATTAGAATGATTTATTATCCAATAAACTTGTTCATTTTGTCCATTCTTTTGTACATATGATTTTATGTAATTGGGACGACATATTTTTAAAACATCGTAACAAATTTAATTAAAATCTCATTTAAAATTATATACTTAAATATCTCAAGACGCTAAAAACTATTTTTACTCAATCGAAGACAAAGTACGAATAGAAACAAAGGTCAATTAGGCAATGAAGAGGTAATCGCATGTAATTTGACTTGTTTTAGCCTTCAAATGAATTAGTGAATGTGTAGATCGGTATATGTAGTTGAACGGTTAGGAGTTTATGTTGTTAAGAGAAACACAATGGTGGTCGTCGGCCTCTAAACCTTGTTAATGGCGGAGACTAGGCCTGTAAACGAACTAAACGTTCGGTGAACCGTTCGATGGAAAGTTCGTTTATGTTTGTTTATTTAATAAACGAACGAACATGAACAAGTTTTTTTGTTCGTTTAGTTAAAGAAACGAATATGAACAAAAATCTCGTTCGTTCATTAATGTTCGTTAATGTCCGTTTACTTATGTTCGTTTATGATAATAAATTAAAATTTAGATAACAATTATATATATATATATATACTACATATATAACCATTTAAGACAAAGTCTTAAATACAAGTTACTATGCATAAGTTATAATGTTTTTATGCAACAAATTCAAAAAACTCTTAAAGACAAGTGACAAAGCACAATGTACAACCATTTTATACATAAAGTTCAAAAAAACTATGTCGGGACAACCACCAACACCACTAAAGTTGAAACTTTCGGTTTCACTTTTTTAATTGAAGCTTTTTTCATCCTCTCTTTACAACTTTGTTCCACCCATTCTCTTTCTTGCTTCTTGTTTCTTCCTTCCCTATTTCCAGCTCTCACTTGAAAATTGTTTCAACTTTTCTTTATTGTGAACAAGACATCATTCAGAGGTCTATATTTGGTGCTTTGTTCAAGAAACTAGTAGAAACAAAAGATACCTGTATAAAACTGTGTGGCATCCCCCCTCTTTCTCTCAATCACATTCGCTTGGTAAGCTTCTTTATCGGGCGTTGGACAAGACTCTAATCTGGTTAGTTGTATAAAAGATGTGGTATATAAAGGTGATAGCATGCAAAACGTTAGCTTTGAAAATGATGGATGGTAAATCGTACATAGAAACTGCTAAAAATAAAAAAGCCTAGCTGATAGTGACTAGTAGGGGTGCTTAAAAACCCGAAGCAACCTGATTTCTAATCGAGTTGTAAAATTGTCAAACCGTAGGTATTGGATTGATGTTGGGTTACTATTATTTGAACACAACCCACCCCGATGAACCCGATATCCTTTTATTTCTTGGATTTAATATGATTGTTGAATTTTTATTAATATATACATTAGACAATTACACTATCATGTATGCTTTTCATATACACATATTTTCAATCTATTCACATCTCTATATAACTCATTCGTATATATGTTCAGTAACTGTGAACATATATATGTAAATTGAGAAAATTAACTGAATGTGATATACGTAAGAAATATAGATAAGTTCTATCAAATGGTTGATGATGAAAAAGAAATTATGAATAGAGAAATAACATATTCAAGGTTAGAAGAATATTTTAATGTACGAAAGTATCAACCAAACCAACCCGAATGGGTTGGGTTGGGTTGGGTTGCACTTTGGTTTGGGTTGGGCTGTGTTAAGATTTTTTTCAAACAGCAAGCATTAGGTTGGGTTGTTTAAATGTTTTCAACCCAACCCATGAACACCCTTAGTGACTAGACATGGAGACTCTGGTCGGCTTATTGACCGAAAGAAGCAGCCGGTGACAGGCTATCACCAAGGCTAAAATCTGGGCCTGCTTTAAGCCCTCATTCATGTGGGCCTGATTTGATTATGGAGTCTGCTAAATGCATTCCTCCTAATGGCCCAAGTGTTATGGATTATAGTCCATATCTTGAAAATGGGACGGTGCATTTGGTATATCCAACTGGGCCTTCTTCGGTTACTGTTTCCCTGGAATGACGAGGGTCTTAGCTACATAGCCAGCAAGATAGGAAAAACCCTTGGCAGGACCTGTGTTGTACTGTTTGTGAGTTCTTCATGTTCGATAAGCTCTTAAAGTCCAAATCATCTGCAAATCACTAGACCCCCTCACATGTATTATCAAATGTGATAAAGGTGTTCATGTTAGGCCACTATAATCCATCACATGTAATACTGAATCAGAGACGCATACAACCTTTGGTGCAACCTAGGTCGTAAGCTAAGTCATCTGCATACCACCAGGTCCCCTCACGTGTTTTATCATATGTAATAAAAGTGTTCTTACATTTTCGTAAAATGAATATTTTTTCGTTTAAAGCTACAACTATATATATATATATATATATATATATATATAGAGAGAGAGAGAGAGAG